CGTGAACTACATTCTGCTCTTCTTGTTCACAACTTTTGAAGGGGTCATGGTCGGCTTTGTCAGCGCCATGTTCACATGGACGACGCTTCTGCTCGTTGTTGGCATGGCAACTCTTGCTTGGGCAGGATTCTCGATCGTGCAGTCTTACGATTTGTCTATCAATAACGCCCCGCTCAGTTGGAAGCCTTTCGCCTTGATAGCGGTCTGCGTGGTCTGTTCTTTCGGCCTGCTTCTAGTTATCCTCCAACTAATGGACAGCTCGCCAGAATGGATCATTTGGGGTTTTGATTTTGGCATCGTGATGCTCTTCAGCCTGTACGCAATCTTCGATCTGCAGCTTATGATGGGCGGTTGGGGAGGGCACCTGGTCAGCTTTCTTCGCGATGACTATTGCTTTGCAGCTCTGAGCCTTTACATGGACACGGTCAACATTTTCGTGCACATGCTGAGCCTGGTCGGGGAGCGCAAATCTTGACTGCACTTTCCTTTCTTGTTACGGCGATGCGCAAGATCCAGGGAACAAGGGGCATCACCGTCACGCCTTCTACAGTCACATGCAGAAGCAGTGCAAGTTTTCGCGGAGGAGGAGGAGGAGGAGGAGGAGGAGGAGGAGCTGCAGCAGCAGCCGGAGATCAGGAAGAGGGGCAGGAACTGCAACACTCTTGTACGGGTGTCACTCCCCGCTGTTCGCAGCGTGTGCAGCTCCCTCTTTTACCACGCACTTGCCCTTGAGCCCAGATTCGTCGGCCCCTGTCCTTCATGACCCTCCCCCTCGCAGCCTTCCTTCTCGGCGTCGTACCCATCGGCCTCCGCCTCCACTCCCTCCGCCGCTGCCTCCGTTTCCCAGACATCCGACGTCGTGATTCCTCAACGTGGCCCCCTGGAGATCTGGACCCTTCTCCCCGAGGGGCATGCCGATGCGCCGACAGTGTGCCGCCAGGGTCCCCGGCCATCACGAAAGCGGGTGTTCACGAATACCTGGAGTGGAGCTTTGCACTGCCACTTCTCGTTCCCAGAGGGTGAGCGCAGTGCAGAATGTTGGGAGCAGTGGGCGCAGGCTTGCCTCGCCATGATTCGGAGCTCCCACAGCTTGCGTTCCTGCTCGTGCTCGTGCTCACCCCTTGGTTTTCGGGTCGCAGCACGGCTCTGCGGCGGCCGCTCGGGACGAGCAGGCCCCCCCCCCCCCACCGGAAGGCTCTCGGCGAGGCGCAGGCGCAGGAAGGCACCCTGAGGCCGGAGAGAGCCGCCGAGGACCGACGAGAGCGCCCGAAGGCCTCGAGCCTCGACAGTCGGACCGAGAGGTAAGATCGAGGTTGGTTCGGGGAGGGAGGGTGCCCTGATGGTCGTCGTGTTTGTTGGATGTGCTTGCGCACCCTGGGGAGGACATCCTTGCACGTTCTGTGCGTTTTGGCCGGCGGAGGGTCTCATGTGCTTGGAGGATGTTCTGGCTTAGGTCCGACTGTGTCCCTCTGCGTCCGCTTCCTTCTCCTCCCCCTCTCAAGCAGTGGCAAGGCGTCCTGGCTTGCAGATGAGCCCACCAAATAATGTTCTGAGGACCTCTTGTGGTCTGCACGAGCTGTTCTTAGAGCATGTCTGGCTGGGGCTGTCCTGTCTTAGCACGTCGGGTTCACGTTCTAAGAACAGGGCTTTTGTTTTGGATTTTTGTTTGAGGTTCTAAGAGCATTTCGTGGTACATAGGCCCGGGATGGCCGGTCACTGCTCAATCCTCGCTCTTGCGCCCTTCTCCCAGGACGAGGATATCCTCGTTCCCCTCTCTCTTTTCCCTCGTTCCTGCTCCACTTCCTCCTCCTTCTCCGTAATCATTTGTTGTTGTCCTCCTCCTCCTCCTCTTCCTCCTCTTTCTCCTCTGTAGTGGGCCTGGTCGAAATGGCTGCTGGGGCATGACATGGATATCAAACGTGCGGGGGGAAGGAGGGGAGGATAAGGAGGACGATGAACAGCAATGAGAAGGGGGAAGATGAGGAGGAATCAGACGAAGGAGGCTCACACGGTCTACGCCATGTTTCGCCTCCGTTGCTGCGATCATGATGCTCCACCCTGGCTCAAGAACCGCGCGCCAAAATCTGAGAGCACGAGGCGCTCGCCAAGTATGGTCCGATGCCGCCGAATAATCACACAGGGCAGGAAACGACCCTCACAGTTGCAGGGAGCAGTCCGTCTTGGCCCGGAGGCGCGGAGCGCCACAATCGGGGGAGCTGTGCGCGCGTTGGGAAGGCAGAAGACTTGACTGGCTCTGCTAGGCCCTAACCCTCGGGCGGCGCCCGACGAGGCTCTGGCCGTGGAGGAGCAGGAGGAACAGGAGGAAGAGGAGCAGGAGCAGGAGCATGATGATGAGGAGGAGGAGGAGACTCGAGTAGAGGGAGGAGGATTGAGTAGGAGGATGAGGAAGAGTAGGAGGAAGAGGAAAAGGAGGAGAAAGACCAGGAGGAGCAGGATCGTGGAGGAGGAGGAGGATCGAGTCGGATGGGGAGGAGGATCGATGATGATGCTGCTTGATGCTGCTGCTAATGATGATGATGATGATGATGATGATGATGATGATGATGATGATGATGATGACGCTCTTGATCGTGATGATGATGGTGCTGACTGATGATGCTGATGATGCTGCTTATGATGATGATGCTGATGATGATGCTGATGATGATGATGCTGACGACCATGCTGCTGATGATGATGATGATGATGATGATGATGATGAGGATGATGCTGATGATGGTCATGATTATGATGCTGCTGATGATGACGACGAGGATGATGATGAGGAGGATGATGAGGATGAGGACGAGGACGAGGATGAGGACGAGGATGATGATGATGATGATGATGATGATGATGATGATGATGATGATGATGATGATGATGATGATAGTGATGATGATGATGATGACGATGATGATGACGATGCTGGTGATGATGATGCTGATGCTGATGCTGATGCTGATGCTGATGAGGATGAGGATGAGGATAATGATGAGGAGGAGGAAGAGGAAGAGGAGGAGGAGGAGGAGGATCGAGTAGAGGGAAGAGGAGGAGGATGGAGGATGTGTAGGAGGCCTTGGAAAGGCAGGAGGAGGAAGGGACAGGGCGGAGGAGAAGAGGACCAGCGGGCGTGGTCGTTCAGCCAGCTCGCTCCAGCCAGAGGGCTCCAGCACGCCGTGAGCGGCGCCGTGGAGCGCTCGGCCACGGCGCCCGCCGGCTCTCAGAGATCTCCCGGACTCTTTCAGCCCGGCGTTGTCGTGCTCCTGCCCGCGCCTTGCGAGGCGCCCGCAGAGCTCCACCGCAGCAAGCGCTGCGCGCGCCCCGCCCCGCTGTCGGGAGCCTGGGCTCCGCGTGCCGCGCCGCCCTCGCCGGCCCAGCGCGCTTTCGGCGCGACACGCTGGCCACGCCCTGGGCCCCGAGCGTACACGCCGGTCGTTGAAAGTAGGTATTTTTGGACTCCCAGATCCCAAGCTACTTCAAGCGCCTTCCTAACTTCAAGAATCGGCACGCTTTTGCTGTGTTATATTCTCTGGGGGGGCCTGGACCCAATCAACTTTATCCGCCTTCCTACTTCATGTTTTTACCTACTTCTTCCGACCGACGTGTAACTGCTCCGAGGTATTCCCAGCCCCTGGCCTCGCGAGGCAGGGTGGCAGGCACGCTATCCGCTCGCAGGGCCGCCGCGACAAGCCAAGCGAGAGTTCCCGACCGCAGCGGCCCAACACCAGGCGCCATGCTCAAAGCGCGCCCCAGGGCCTTGGTTTCGCTCATCCCCAGGCGAATGCCGAGATCGTGTCGTGGTGGGGCGCACGGTCGGTGGGCCCCGGACGGGGATGAAGCCGAGCCAAGGAGCAAAACAGCATCCGTTTGGAGAGGCGCCCCCGCGCTCCCCCCCTGATATGCCTTTCCCTCTCCCTGGGCCTCCCCCCGTCTCTCTCTCTCTCTCTCGATGGGCAGTGGACCTCCTTCCTTCCCCCCTGCGCGTTCGCTCGCCCTCCCTCCACCATCTCCGCTTCCTCCACGTCTCGGAGGAGAGCCAGGGTAGACAACGGCGGATGTCCAGCCCGGCCCACATCCGTTCAAGATATCGATTCCCGGACCCTTCCCGCGATCCATCTTGACCCGTATCTCGAGGCGTGCCCCGCCGTGGCGATGAGGAGCCCCCAAGAGGCCCAGGAAGGGCGAAACGCGCAGGGGAGGGCCGCCGTTGATTGGCGCTCTCCCGAACGCCCTCCCCCCTTCCACGCCCTGAGATCCGACGTTGCGAACCAAACGTAACATCGCGCAAAATCACGACTGGAGACCAAGACCCCGTCTTTCTGGGCCATCTTTCGAGCCGGATCGATCTGTGATGGTCCCTGGGCTCGACACCGGCCGAATACGTCCAGTGTGACAAAAACGCAACGCCCAGATGTCTGGGTCCTCCCCTCTGTTTGCCTGCGCTGTGCTCACTGCGTTGCTGAAGGATGAAAACACACAGTTCGCGGCTCCCGTCAGCCTTGACAGCCGTCCAGATCTCTGGTTCCTCCCCTCTATTTGCCTGCGCTGTGCTCATTGCGTTGCTGAAGGATGAAAACACACAGTTCGCGGCTCCCGTCAGCCTTGACAGCCGTCCTCCTCCTCCCTCCTCCTCCTCCTCCTCCTCCTCACGACTCCTCCTCTCCTCCTCCTCCTCCTCCTCCTCTGTTTCCTGTTGGGCATGAGGGTGCTCCGCACGTCTGTCGCTCTCCTCCTCCTCCTCCTCCTCCTCCTCCTCCTCCTCCTCCTCCTCCTCATCCTCTTCTCGTCGTTTCTTTCTCCTCCTTTCCCCCCACCCCTTCCCCCCCGTCTCCTTCTTTTCCCCCTCCATCCCCCTCCTCCTCCTCCTCCTCCTCTCCTCCTCCTCCTCTTTCTCCTTTCGACTGTCTCCTCCTCCTCCTCCTCCTCCTCCTCCGCCTCCTCCTCCTCCTCCTCCTCCTCCCCCTCCTCCTCCCCCTCCCCGCCGCCGCCGTCCGCCGAAGCGCGCGCCTCCCGGCGCCGCGCCCCGTGCCCCCCTCCGCTGGGGCCCGCGGCCCGCCGCAGCCCCGGAAGCCATCGCTGCCCGGTGGGCTCGCGGCTCGAGGAGGGCGCCGTGGGGTCGGGGGGAGGGGGGCGAGCGTCGAGGGCAGGGAGGAGCGTCGAAGGGAGGCAGGAGGAGGAGGAGGAGGAGGAGGAGGAGGAGGAGGAGGAGGAGGAGTTCGGGCAGCGTGCGGAGAGCCCTCATGCCAACATGAAGCAGGAGGCAGGAGGAGAAGAGGAGGGCGGAGGCGGAGGAGGAGGAGGAGGAGGAGGAGGAGGAGGAGGGAGGAGGAGAAGGGAGGAGGAGGAGGAGGAGGAGGAGGAGGAGGGGGAGGGGGAGTGGAGGAGGAGGAGGAGTTAGGAGGAGGAGGAGGAGGAGGGAGGGAGGAAGAGGAGAAGAGGAGGAGGAGGGGAGGAGGAGGGGGGGAGGAGGAGAAGAGGAGAAGAGGAGGAGGGAGAGGGAGGGAGGGAGGGGGAGGGAGGGAGTGGAGGGAGGGAGGGAGGGGAGGGAGGGAGGGAGGAGGAGGGAGGGAGGGAGGAGGGAGGGAGGGAGGGGAGGAGGAGGAGGAGGAGGAGGAGGAGGAGGAGGAGGAGCTCAAGGAGGAGGAGGAGGAGGAGGGATCGCCATGGGGGAAGCGGGTCCTGAGGGCAACGGGTCCTTGCGTTGTTTGTTGTTTTCGGACTCTCCGGGCCTTCCACGGGCCCCGTGACTGTCAGAAATTGATCCGGGATGAAGAACTGGTCCTTGGGGAAGGCCCCATGGTTCAGGCCTGTTTCCCCCAGGACCGGGTACCATGATGCTAAAGGGAGGAGGTGGAGGGATGAGGGAGGAGGGAGGAGGGAGGCTGGGATGGCAGAGAGGGAGCTCGGAGGGCGGAAGAGATCCTTCGGGGCCCTGGGAGCTGGGGCGCCGCGGGCGTGGGCGCTGCAGTACCCAGGGGGGACTCTCCGTGGCCGAGTGGGCGGCCTCACAACCCCCAGCAGGCAGGGCCCTCCGCTCACTCTCGAAGAATACATCTAGGGTCCTTCGAGGACACTCGATTCGAGTAGGGGGTCGACTGCAGAATTGTTTTCCCCAGTATTGATATGCTCGCAGAATTCATGAACACGCGCATTCGACATATGCGCGCGGAACTAGCGCGATAACGCAAGCTTGCAAACTCCCATTGGCATCATTACTTTTGCCTCTGACGCGTATGATTCGTAAGATCATGGATCGCATGGCTGTAGGCCCGTCCCAAACACCTCGGCCCTCATCCTTCTGCACGCCTTCCTGCTGCTGGTTAAACAATACTTTCACCGATGACCGTAGACGGGTTCGGAGGGGAAGTGTCAAAACGAGAGGCACGACAGGGGGGAGGGGAGAGGGAAAGGGGAACACGTGTAAGGGCGGCGGAGGCAAGAGGGCGAGAAAGGCGGAGGACAGGAAACATGAAAAGGAGGGAGAGAAGGAAGTGGAGGAGGGCCAGAGGAGGAAACCTCAGCATTGAGGACCTGCTTCTGCATTGAAGTCTTCGCTGCTGCTGACACCTCTATCCTCCTCCTCCTCCTCCTCCTCCTCCTCCTCCTCCTCCTCCTCCTCCTCCTCCTCTTACTCGTCAACCTGCTCATCCACCTGCTCCTCCCCTCACTTTCTCCTTGGAGCTCTCATTGGGGCTCTCTTGGGGCCCTCTCGGAACCCTCCCTCGGCCCTGCTTGGGGCCCACCTTGGGCCTCTCTTGGGGCTGCTTGGAGCCTCTCTTGAGCCATCTTTGCAAGCCACCGGTATTCAGGCCAACCTGGAGTGATCTGCGTCGTCAGGTTGGTAAGGGTTCGGGCTGCGCACACAGAGCCCCCCCCTAGTAGTCCCCCGCGCCCCGGGATTCGGGTGTGAAGACCGCCCTGGATTACTCGGTGAGCCTGTTGAGGCCAGCCGGGACTACTCGGACTGGCTGTTCAGGCCAGCTGGGAGCACCCCGACGCCTTACCATGTCGGTTAGGGGGGCGCGGAGTCCCGGGAACTTCATTCCGAGTCTTGGCGATTATGCCCCTTAAGAGAGGTCGACGATCTTTTGATGCAGCGGCCGGGAGAAAGAATGGCCTGCATTGCATCGCTCTCATGCTGACCATCAGGGAGGCCAGGGAGGGCAGACGAGCGGCATATGTTGAGACCGCTCAACTCTGACCGACCTTCCGAGACGGAGGATCGATCTTCTGGGCCCTTGGCAGGCGGTTGACATGGATGTGTTCGGGTCCTCGGGGGGCCAAATGTATATCCTTTGCGTGCATGTCTTTCCCCATCGGTCTAGAGGTCAGGCCGTCGATGCTAATCGCTTCCGTGGGTTTTTGGGCTCAAGAATTCGCATCCAGGCAGTGCGAATGGATTTCCTCTGGCCCGCAGCCCAATACGCGTGGCAGGGGGCTCTTGCATATCTCTGGGGCGGCAATTTGCAGCGCTGCCCTTCGATCACGATCCCGGCGTGTCCGGCGTTCCCTGGGTGTGCGGCCTGCCCGCCGTGCCCAGGCTGCCCGGCGTGCCCGGGAGGACGGCCAGCGCCTGCCAACCCGGCGCCGCCGGCAGAGCAGGAGGCTGGGGCCGACATCGCGGCGTCCTCCTTCTGGCTGGTCGTGCTGGTGAACGAGCTGCTGTTCCTGGGCCTCATTGGCTGGTACGTGTACGTCTGGTGGGGCGGCGCGTGGCTGACCTGCAAGCGTCGTCATGATGGCGGCGGCGATCGTGGCCCCAGCAGTGGCGGCAGCGCCGGAGATGCAGCAATGGGCTTGGGTTCGCTACGACGGCGAGCCATTGTGGCACCAGCGGCTGATCTTGGGGAGTCGGGCGAGAGTTCCAGCTGAGGTCGGGTCACCGTACGTTGTGCTGATCTGCACCGTGGACACCGACATCTACGAGGAGGACTACGCGTGCGACGGCAGCGACATCATTGCCGTGCGCTACGCCGGCACGCGGGCGACCTTCCCGCCAGGGATCCGAGGTGCGAACTCACACCGCTTCAGGCGGGACTTGACGCTGCAAGAGCAGCAGCAGATCGACCAGGCGGCCGTGGACTACTGCAGGGCGGCGCTGGCGGCCGACCACCATCGTCTTGGATTGGGAGCGCCGGCGGGGCCTTTCCTCATCCCACTGACCTTCGGTCAGGGCGGCCCTGCCGCCCCGGCGGAGGCAGGTGATGTGGCGGCGGTGGTGGCCCCAGGGGCGCAGGCTGCTGCTCTGGTCGCCGCTGGAGGGGTACCTGGTGCTGCCGTCGGAGGAGCGGGCGGAGCTGGCGGAGGTGCTGCTGGCGGAGCTGCCGCTCCTGCGGGGGCAGGCGTGGCCGCCGCCGCCATGTGGGTCCTGGTCGAGTCGACGACAGCGGGCGCGCGCGGGACTGCCGTGGCCCCGCCCGCTGGCTCAGTGTTGCGAGGGTCCGTCGGGCTCATGCCGCTGGCCGACGGCTCCTGGGTGACGATCCGCTCGATCTCAGGATCGGCCCAGGAGTATGCTGGGCGAGAGGCCGCGTCGGACGCCCGTCTGATGGGGATCCTGCCGAACCCTGCGGTCCCAGGCGGGAGGCTGCTGCGGCAGTGGCGCGACGCCGTCGCCAGCTTCACCGAGGAGGCCTTCGTGGACTGGCACATCCCTGGTCCGCGGACTTGCTTGTGGTGCTGCAAGTTCATCGACCGTCGGCAGGGAGGGCCGCTGGACCACTTCAGGTTCTGGAAGGCGACCCTCGGGCTGGCGGCCGACGACTACGGCGTGAATGACTACGAGGCCGGGATGCGCGCGATCTACACGATGGCGTGCTGGGACGGCCTCGACCTGCCGAACATCGCGGGCGCCGAGCAGATCCTTCGGAAGTGTCAGATGTACGAGTACGTCTACGTGATGGACCGGGACCCCCACCACGGTGGCCACGGCGTCGGGGACGGCGGCGAGGCCGGCGAGAACAAGAAGACTGGGAAGAAGGGTCGTGGTCGGGGGAACGGCAGTCACAGCTTGCTGAGTTTCGGTTTCATCGACGAGAGCGCTGTCTTCACCGGTCTCAGCCGAGACCACGGGGAGAGCATGATCTGTCCCTTGCTCTTGGAGCATGTGGCGAAGGAGGTGGAGAGGGACGCTTCGGTGTTGAAGCAAGTACGCAAGGCCCGCGAGGAGCAGCGGGCCTTGCGAAAATGACGGGCGTACTACCACGCGGGCCGCTTCCCCCCGGCGGTCCGCGCGTTTCTGGAGGGGGGCCCAGCGGTGGTGGCCCGCCATTCGCTGGTGACGAGCACTTCAAGGGCATGCCTTGTGGGCGCCAACGTGATCTATTTCCACTGCCACGTCCTGATCAACAGCGTCAGGCCCGTTCAGAGGCGAACAGCTTCGCTTGTACACGTTCTGTGGCCCGTCGTGGCCTTCGTCGGGGTCATGCCGATGCCATGGTGAGTGAGGTAGTGAATACTCTCAACGAGCTGTACGTCGGCCAGCCCTGTCGCCACGGCGACCACTCGCAGCCTGTCTCTGCGGGTCAGCAGCGGGCCTTAGACAACGTTCGAGATGCTGTCCGACGGTTCGGTAAGCCCCCGGAGGGATTGACTGGCTCAGGAGCCCTTGAGGAGCTTCGAGTTCTCAGCGACTACGCCGGCGAGAGTGCCACGGTCGCTCCGTTCAGCTTTGATAACATCAACAGCCTCTCGCTCCCAGATGAGGGTTTCACGCCGGTGGCGCTGGACGCGCTGGGAGGAGGAGCTGGCCGCAAGATAGTTGAACGGCTTCATGATATGATGCTGTCCCAGTCCGAGGGTCGGGCTCGGATCGAGTCCGACGGTCCTCGGAAGCTCTACATCGACCCGGCGCTCAGGAACCCCAAGCTGTACATCCAGCTGCTGCGGATCCTGGAGCGCCGGAACCTCATCGACTACTACAGTGACAAGGCGTGCAGCGTGGGTGTGTTCTTCGTATACAAGAAGTCGGGGAAGCTGCGGCTCATCCTGGACGGCAGGCACGCGTCCCTGCACTTCCGGGCCCCGGACAAGGTGGCCCTCGCGTCTGGCGCAAGCTTCGCTGGCCTCCACGTGGACAGCGGGAAGCCCATCGCCGTGGCC